ACGCATCACAATTTACCTCGAACACCTTTTCAAAATTCGGAAGTGCCAAGACTGGGGCCTCCGTCATCTTCTGCTTAACCAACTGAAAGCTAGCCTCTGCCTCCTCAGTCCACTGAAAATCACGCCCTTTAAGGCACTCTGTGATAGGGCAATCAAGGTACTAAAGTTTCTGATGAATCGACGATAGAAGGATGCCATTCCATGGAAACTCCTGACATCGTGCAAAGTTTTTGGTTTCGGCCAATTCAAAACTGCCTCAATTTTGGATTGATCTGCATGAACACCATCAGTAGACACAACAAAATCGAAAAAAGTTACAGAAGTTGTGAAGAAAGAACACTTATTCTGACTGACGAATAAGCGCTCCGTCCTCATTACATCAAAGACAGCACGAAGATGATTAAAATGTGACTCCCATGTCAGACTATAAATAAGTATGTCATCAAAATAAACTACCACAAACTTCCCCATGAAAGGCCGTAAAACCTGATGCATAAACCTCATAAAAGTGTTGGGTGCGTTGGATAGTCCAAAGGGCATGACTATCCACTCGTACAACCCATGCTGTGTCTTGAACGCGATCTTCCACTCATCTCCAGGTCTGATTCTGATCTGGTGGTATCCACTTTTAAGGTCAATTTTTGAGAAAATCTTAGAACCGGACAATTGATCCAACATGTCGTCCAGACGGGGAATTGGAAACCTGTACTTCACTGTAATCCTGTTAATTGCCCTGCTGTTAACACACATACGCCATGACCCATCTTTCTTCGGCACTAGGAGAGTAGGAACTGCACAAGGACTTATACTCTCACGAATGTAGCCCTTTTCCAATAATTCTACCACCTGTCGCTGCAACTCTTCAGCTTCCTTGGGACTGAGGTGATATGCTGGTCAGTTTGGTAGACTCGACCCCGGAATGAGGTCGATCTGATGTTAAATGTCCCTCATAGGTGGTAATCCTGGAGGAAGATTCTCAGGCATCAAGTCAGAAAACTCCATCAGTAGTTGCTATACTTCTGCTGGAAATTCTGAATCCACACTCGCTATACTATTTTCATGAGGCATTAAAGCATAAACTATTTTTTCACGCCCAACCTCAACCAAAAATCTGGACATAGAAAGTAGATTGGAGTTTTTAACTACCGGGGTAGGGATGTTTCCTTCCCTGCGAGGCACCAAAACAATTCTCTTTCCTTTGATACTAAGAGAATAAGTATTCTTCCGCCCATCATGGATAACACTGCGATCATACTGCCAAGGTCGTCCCAACAAAACATGACAGGCGTCCATTGATACCACATCACACCAAGCATTATCAAAATATTTTTTTCCAATTGAGAAAGACACTAAGCATCGTTTTTCTACCGTTACCTCATTGCCTTTATTCAGCCAAGACAACTTGTATGGTTTGGGATGACGATCCATATTCAGTTGTAGTTTCTCGATAGCCTCCTCAGACACTACATTCTCACAACTGCCACTATCAATTATCAGCTTACAGACTTTGTCAACAATTGTGCAGGTTGTGTGGAAAACGTTGGTCCTCAACCAATCATCCCCTGAGTCCCCTTGGGAGTCAGCAGGCTCTTTCGAACAACCAGGGTCTCCTGACCATCTCCATATAGCACGTCCTCATCTTCACCCTCATCATACACGGGTTCCCCAACTTCCTCAAACTCCTCTATCATATCCTCCTCAATCAGAAGATTTTTATTCTTCTGACCAGCAGGCTTCCTGCAATCAATCGCCCTATGCCCCTGTTCATCACACCTAAAGTACTTAATACTTGAGCTGGAACTATCCCGCTGTGGCTGATAAGCAGGACGAGATTCTTGAGG